GGGTAGGGAACGTCCAGCCGGCAGCCTGTATAACACCCTTGAAATCACTTGGTCTGGCCCTGCCAAGGCAATCACAGGTGGTACTAGAAATTCAATAAATTTAGAAGCTTTTTTTGTAGCGACATAAATTTATATTAAGTGATGTTACAAATACCCAAATGGTCCTTGGCAGAAAAAAAAACCTCCCCACCTCTACTGTACAGGGTTGCTATGAGTAAGAATCAATTTTACGACACTTGAAAAAACACCACCACCATACGTATGTGAACATGTGTGTTTTCAACTTTCAGCTGACAAAACATAACATAACTTGACATTTTGAACATAATTTTTATACTAATGACATAGTATCTCTAAGATCCATCAGTCTAAAATATGTATGTAAGTTGCTTTCTTAAAGTAAATGAGCAATTATTAATAATGGTAAGTGTAAATGTGATTTATTTTTCTTTAAAATTATTTGACTAACTTTTATGTACTAAAATGCATATGTGAGTTATGATTTTGGGATTTAGAAGGTACCTCAAGCTGTATCGAGAATTTCTGGCACTAGAAAATATGAATATTTCAAAGTAAAATTCAGAATTCCTTAAAAGTATTTCAACTTCTCTGATATGTTCTATTTTTATTAAAGTATAGTATATACCTAAACACTTTTATATAGAAATTAGTAAAATGAATCAATAGCATTTGAGGGGATTACTAAAAATAATTTCAATAGATAAATATCTACATATAACAAATGAAATATGACTTATGAAAAACATGTTTTGTCCCTTCGTGACTGAAAGTATAATTGTCCATTTGAATTTACAATTACTGATTAGTTTTATGAGTAGTATGGTTGTTATTAGTCAGGGTCAACTCGATTACAACAGCATCATTATTAATGATTGCTGTTGTTTAAAAAATTAAATCTTAGTGACATTTTTTGTTGTTAAAAAGTTTTCATAAACAGAATGGAGTCCTGGTGTGGTGCTGTACACTAATGCACTGGACTGAAAAATCCACTGAACCCCAAGCTTATCACCTGCTCCTTGGAAACCCTACACAGGGTCGCTATATGGATTGGAACTTACTCAACAGCACTCAACAACAACAATAACAATAAGTAGAATGGTTAAGCAGTCCATATCGAAAGGGCAGCATTTACCTAAGGAAAAAATATAGAATGGTAGGGAAAGGCATATGGAAACAAGAAACATAGGAGGAAGAGGGATAAGTGATGTTCCATTGAGGAGATGCAATCAATGAGATAAAATGATATGTATTATTTGCTCAATGTAAAACTAATGATCTGCTCTGTAAAAAGAACCTAACTACTGAGTCTGACTTAGTCCAGTTCCACAATAAATATCATTAAATTCGCTCTATGAGCCTGCTGTCTGTGTGGCATTGTGGGTTAATGTATAAACTGGAAAGTTAGTTTGAACTGCAGAATTGGTGGTTCAAGCTCACCAGCTGCTCCTTAGAAACACTATACAAGGTCTCTGTGGGTCAGAACCAACTTGAAGGAACTTAACAACAACAACAACTTCATTTCTATAAATATCTGAAAATGTATTTCTTAGAATTCAACTAATGAATGTACTACTAATGCCCTACTAGGAAAAAATAGTCTGATATTTTGAATCTTGTAGCTGTATTCATGAAGGTACACATTCCCAAATTAATGTTACCTTTGAATTTTAGAGATACCACACAGGTTCCTTTAATGAGGATCTACAGTGGGAACTTTGCCTAAATTTCATCCCTGAATTCCACATACATTCAGGTAAGGCTATTAAAAAAAAAAAAAATTGTCAGATTCTTGCTCACTGATACTATATCTACAGTTTTCCTTTTAAGTATTTGATAGTTCTTATCACCATGCTAAATCTTTCATATTTTCTGTATTAAAGATATTCAGTTTAAGTTGGACTTGCTATTTAAGAGATTTGCCACCAGGTGGTAGGAGTGTACCATAAAATAAAAGAACAGACTGTGTGGTGCTAATTTTAATAAAAATAATAGCTAATGTTGTTTACTGAGTGATTACTATGCTCCAGACACTTTGTCATTATGTAATTTAATTATCACAATATCCTTAGGTATTATTACAATGTCCATTTTACAAACCAGAAAATATTATCTCAGAGATTAATCACCCAAGGTTTAGAATTAACCTCCACACTCCTGGTATGGCACCATAGGATAGGTACTGGCCTGTGAACCATAAGATTAGCAGTTCAATCCCATCAGCTGCTTCTAGGAAATCCTATACTAGGTCAATATGAATTGAAACTGACTCAAAGGCACTAAATCTCTCTCACATTCTTAACATCTGTGTGGTATTATCATGACTGAGGTTCCTAAACTGGCAATTGGCTGAAGCACAATGATTTACTTATATAATTTCCTACTCAGTATTTTTGCTAGAATTCCTTTTCCACAAATAATAAATGATTTCATTGATGAATGTGGATGTTGATTTTATAGTTGTTTACCTAATAAAATGCTAAGTATTAGTTTCCATGAGACCAGAAGAAACGAATGGTGCATAGCTACCATTACTTAACATTTTGGTCAGGCATCCAAGAGATCGATCTTGATTAATAGTAGGAAAACAGTAGAACAAAACTTCAAATTCCTATGAAAATCAGACCTACTGGATCCATTGAGAATTGTGAACCCCTAAGTCCATGTGCTTGGATAAAAAGTTTTAAACATTGAACTGGAACATCCTGTGAAATTATCTTTAAACTAAACAACCATTAGTTATTTCAATTAATAAAGAATGTTTGCTAGTAAGAGTTGAAACTAACAAAGTAACCTAAAACACATATTAAAACTTTAAGGGTGGAGAACCGAAGTTAACAGTTAACCATGGTGAAACAATATGGTGAAAGTGATGACCCAATGTCTAGTATGTAACAATTGCCATTGAAATGCACATGCAAAAACTGCTGGATGGGTGCATGCTTTGCATATTTCATCAAAATTAAACAAAACAAAACCCAAACTAGATGAGATTGTGTAGCTATTCTGTCAAGAGGCCTTCAATTAAACTTTAAGATCAAAATTCTCCCTTATTCAGCTGGGTTTGGAAGTTACTTTGTAGTGATTTAAAAATTTGACTTAATGATCGATGAGGTCAATTCTGGTTTATTGACAGACCTGTGCAGAAACAAGGATATCAAGAGCCTCCTAGTTAACATTGGCATGCATTTCCTCAGCCCAACTGAGTGAGATTGAATAGAGAAAATATTGAGAACACATGGACCTTTTCTCCTACTTCCCAAGATGGGGTCACCACTTTTCCCCCTATTTCATCCTCCACATCCATTTTCTCAAAGGAAATGGGTGGGAGATTTGAACTTCAACCCACTTCCTTTGAGAAAAAGAATCATAGGAAGGGGCTGGAGCTCATCATCTAATGTCCAAATTCCTATTTTCAAAGGGCACATGATGGTGTTTGTTTTATTCAATAATGGTGTATCTCCAGGAAGCTTCTCATGTCAACCTCTCAGATAGGCAAATTTAGATGAGTCCTCTTCCTCTTTGCTCTATCAGCCACATCCTATGCATGCCTCCATCACTTCATTTACCACATTATAATGAAATAGTCTGTCTACATTTCAGTCTTCCTAATGAAACTTCAAGATTTTTAAAGCTTTGTCTTAGTCAATCACTGTTTCCTTATTAGAGTTTCAGGCACATTACTATTGTTGTTGTTGTTGTTGTTGTTAAGTGCCATCAAGGTGGTTCTGACTCACAGCAACCCCGTATAGGGTTTCCAATGAGTGGCTGGTGGGTTTGAACCACTGACCTCAACGTTAGCAATCCAGTACTTATCCTTCAATGCCATTTTAGGAACCATCTCTGGCACATAAGATGTATTTATTCAATTTTTATCAAAGGGAAATACACTGAACATAATTACTTTAAATAACTGTTGTTATTAAGTGTCACTGAGTCAGTTCTCACTCATAGTTAGCCTGTATAGAGTTTCTGAGGAGTGGCTGGTTGTTTGAACTGCAGATCTTGTGACTGACAATCCAGTGCTTATCCTACAATGTCTTACCAGAACTGTAATATCAAGTAAGAATATAGTTGTGGAGATGCTATTTAAACTGCTATACAAATAGAAGCTACGATTTCAACAATTTTTCTTTTAATAATAGTGTGCAATTTGTATCAATAAATCACTAATTTACCACAGAATATAATCTTTCAGAAAGGTATAACTCCATAATAATTATCATTTTAAGATCTTTTGTTCTTTTTTTTTTATTTTTAGTATCTTCATTTGTAGAGGCAACATTTATGGAATGGGAACTAGTAAGTATTTCTGAGATCCTTTGGTGCTCTATTTGACTAGATTCTCACAGTACATTAAGATGAAAAGTTCTTTTAGAAATAAGAATGAGGAAAAGAGAAACTGAAATATCAGACGGCTATAGTTCCCTTTCTTTCTCATACTTTTTTGTCAACCATAGCTCACAGAGGTTCATAAGAGTTATTAATTTAAAGGAGGATTATGGAGCTTCTGGAGTCATGGTGTGGCTGTAGGATAATCATTGGACTGTCAAGTTTAAGTTGTTCACAAGATAGTCCAGCTGCATATGACCATTAGTTCACCAGTGAGGCCTGCTTGACCTCTCCTACCAGCAAGCACTCCACTCACCTCTTTAATCTTTCTTCTGAAATTTAGGGTGCCAGAATTTTCATCTGTGATGGTTTAATTTAGTTTCTCATATCTTTGTTGTAGAGAGTCCATGTAGTGCATCACCCTACTTGTCCATCTTGCTGGAAGTCGTCTATCCTAACTTTTTTTTTTTTAAGGTCTAGCTAAGGTGATTTATATGGCCTAAGCTGATTTTGCCTATTTTTTTTTCCCAAGTAAAATGTCCCTTCTATGAAAATTAATTTTTGTACACAATGGAAGAACAGTAATTATTTTTTTATTTAAATAAAGAGAATTGAATAGTTAAAAGGAGATTAATGTTTCTATCATTTACCTGTAATGTTTGTAAGTTCTGCTCCTTCCTCCATAACAGCATTAAGAGGGGAGGGGGCACAAGTAAGCAACAGACAAATGGAGGCCCAAAATACATGTTCTTTCTTCATTGTGTAGATTATCTCTGAAATAGAGAGGTCATAGACATGTAATACATAATGTATCAATGAAATCATCTAGGTGAACAGAATCTTTATACAAATCTCCAAATGCAAATTTTTGAAATTTCAAATGTATTCTCATGTATCTATCTCCACATATTCCATGGGATATATTTACAACACAAGTACATAGTATTCAAAATTATAGACACAAATTTAAGTTGTATGTTTCATAATAGTTAAGAATCTGAGTCATAGTTTAGAACTTCAAAATGGAAATTAATAGAACTGTAATTGATAAACATGGGTAGATACTGATCAATATGCTTTGTATTAAGACCTGTTTTTATATGCAGATCTATATCCCACATCTTTTTCATGGCTATTATTTTTTCTGTTGAAACTAACAATCTTTTCAATTTTCTTGTATTTTCTGTAATTTCTTCAGTGCACTAATAATTCCTTATTGCATTCTTTGTTGTGATACTTTTTTTTTTTAATGAAACACAGTTTCAGAACTTTCATTTTGTTTTCTTTAAAATGTACTTCTGTTTCCATAACCAGTTTCCTAACCAGGTTTTCTTTGCGATAACAAAGTGACAGACTTGCTAACAAAAGAAATGTTTTACATTCCAGCTAGTCTTCTTCCTCATTTCTTCCTCCCTTAACTCAGACGTTATCTGATTCAAGAAAGTTTCACAGAAAAGTGACTTTAGTGATAAACCACCACTTTTGTGCTCTAAGGGTTATAGATTTCAGCAGCAGTGTGAGACTTTTCCTGTTTCGAACTGATTTAAAGATCCACAGGCAAAAATAATGGAAAAATACACCTACTTTTTTTTTTTTGGTAAGAATATTTCTCCTTTGGATCCAAAGGGAAAAATAAAGGGGAGAAAGATTTATATTCAGCTATCAAAGCTATTAGAGACAAGAAGGAAAGCCAATTCTTATCAGCAAACATTCAGAATTGCTGAGGCAGATATTCCATAAAAACAATAAAATAGAGAATTTTACATTTTTGTTTGTAGGGAATCACATCAGCTACATACACCATTAAGGTGTTGGCACCCACTGCCTTCAAGTAGATCCTGATTCTTATCGAGCCTACCGAACTGCACCCACAAGGTTTCTGAGGTTGTATATCTTTATAAAATCATACTGACTCCTTTAAATAAATATATACTTTCTGTGTGTTTTGTGATACATAGAAAAGAAAAAAAAAAAAAGAAAAAAGGACTAGAGGTAAATACTATTAACCAATGGTACATGGAGAGGATTGTAATCATTCCAATGAAACAAAATATGATTGGTTGAGTGCAAGGCTGATGATCTGCCCTTTAAACTGTCACTCAATGCACAACAAGAACTTAAAAAAAAAAAAACAGAAAAAGAAAGAAAGCATAAAGCATACTGCCTTATCTTTATGCCACAGGGTGGCTAGCAGATTCCAACCATCAACCTTCTGGTATGAATTCTTATTGTTGTCCAGTGCCATAGAATTAGTTCTGACTCACTGTGAACCTGTATAGTGTTTTCGAGGAATAGCTGGTAGGTTTGACCTGCTCACTTTGTGGTTAGCAGTTGAATCAAATTATCAACATTCTGGTGTGAGTAGCCATGTAATAAATTCCATTTTACCTTAAGCTTCCTTAAAATTATAACCTATTTTCCTACAATACTTTCGCAATGTTAAAGCATATTATATTTTTAGTCAATGGCCATGTTACATACCTTCTAAATCATATCATAAACCATTTTAAACCACAAATACATACTGATGATAAATCACTCTAATTCATGGAAAGCTTATGTATGCTAGGACAAGATTTGCCAGCCCTGTGTCATCCTCAGAGTTCCCTGCATGTTTAAGTCTATTACTGTGACTGCTGTGTCAATTTATTTCACTAAGGGTCACCTTTGCTGGCCCTCAGGTTCACCAAGTGATGTCCTCTGGTGTTTGATTTCTCCTGGTAATGAGTACAAAGTAAGTGAGCATTCTGCTGTGATCTTTAAGGATTCCATTGGATCATTTTTGTAAGTAGCTAGCCAGGCATTTCATCGTAATTTGTGCTATCCTGGAATCTCTGCTGAAACCTGTTCACCATGGGTAAGTCTTTCAGATATCTTGCTGGTATTTTAAATAATGGTGTCATATCTTCCAGCATCACAGCAATATTCAACTTACTACAGTACTACAAACAGTTGTGAGTGCTGTTAAGTTCCATCTAGGTTTTACGGACATGGGTCCTGGTGTGGCACTCTAGGGTATACACTAGACTGCTTACTGCAAGGTCCACAGTTCAAACCCACCAGACACTCCTTGTAAACTCTATACAGGGTTGCTGTGAACCGGAACTAACTTGAGGACACTTAACAACAGCATCATATATATACATATATAAAGTATCATTTTGAATCGTCTATCATCTAATGTTCTAGTCTATATCTTTTGCAGATACTCTTCAATTTACGTTTGATTTTTTGAGAAGTACAATCCAATTACATGTTGAGTGACAGTGTAGCGTGTTTTTAATCACAAGATGTAGGAAGCAGGCTGAGATTGAGTGTCTGTTGAATAAATAGATGAGATTTAGGACTCTAAATGTTTCCAACTTCTTTCTTTAAATATGGAATCTATAGTCTAGCCCAAACTTGGTAGTCCAGAATTGTGTTGGCTGCAAAAATCAGAAAACCTGCTTAGATAAGTTAAAAGATCATTAGCTCACTCACTCTAGAGTAGGTGGAACAATATAGGATTAGACAGAAAGATTTTCAGTTGGATCTCAGAAACAACTGTGGTCACAGAGTTGAAAAATACGTCTTCCTCATTGTTCTTACACTTGATGGTGGAAGTGGTTGTGTGACATCAAGTTGGTCCTAACTCATGGCGACCCTGTATAGAGTTTCCAAGGCTGTAAATCTTTATAGGAACAGAAGGCCTCATCTTTCTCCTGCGCAGTGGTTGATGACCTTGAGCTGCTGACCTTGCAATTAATAGCCCAACACATAACTCATTATGTTAGCCGGGTTCCTTACACTTAGATAAGCTTTTATTATCTCTCAGTGTAGTCCGAGTTTTTTCATATAGCTAGATACAAGACAGATGACATTTTCTGGGTTTTACAACTTAAAGATTCATTCATCAAAATAGAGTTACTACTGCTCTCAATGACTAGGCTACAAGAGAATACCATTCATAGTTTCAATTTGTAAACAAAGTGCAATCTGTAGAACAATACATTTCAGGTGGGAAACCATGAGTAACAGGAGTGAACTTGGTGGGCCCTGACGGTGTTATGGGTTAGACATTGGTCTGCTAACCACTGGGTTGGCAGTTCAAATTCACTAGCTGCTCAGTGAGACGAAGCTGAGATTGTTTACTCTTACAAAGATTTACAGTCTTGGAAACTCTACTCTCAGGTCACTATGAGCTGGACTCAACTCAATGGCAGTGTTTCTTTTTTTTTTTTTTCAAACAATCAGCAGGGGAAAGATGAGGCCATCTGCTTCATAAAGATTAAAGCCTTGGAAATCTATTGGGGCAGTTAAGCTTTGCCCTATGTTGTTGTTAGGTGCCATTAAGTCAGTTCCAACTCATAGTGACCCTGTATTGGGTTTCCAAGGACCAGCTGGTACATTTGAACCACTGACCTTGTGGTTAAAAGTCCAATGCTTATCCTACAGTGACATACCAGGACTCTGTCCTATAGAGTCACTACATTTCAGAACTGACTCAACAGCGATGAGCTTGATTTTGATTTTACACCATGCAGAGAATTAGAATAGGAAAATGCAATAACATCGTGTATATTAATATGAGTATGTGGTTGTTAAATGGATGGGTATAACTCCCACAAGGAAGAGATCAATTCTTTCAGAAGAAAAGAGTATTGGACAAATGAAACTATAAGTATGCCCTACAAAAAGCCACCATTACTCGTTTGTCACTGTGGTGGTTTGTGTGTTACTGTGATTCTGAACAATATACCACTGGTATTTTAAATACCAGCAGGGCCACCCATGGTAGATAGGTTTCAGCTGAGCTTCCAGACGAAGGCAGACTATAAAGAAGGAGAGAAGGACTATTTTAGAATATTTAGTCATTGAAAATATTATGCGTATCAGTGGAACACTGTCAATAATTGAACACTGAATATTTAAACATGATGAAGAGCACAAGATTATTATCATATATAGTGCCAGTGTGGCACTGTGGGTTAATGCGCTAGACTGCAAAGCTGTTTGTAATGCAAGGTCAGCGGTTCAAGCTCACCAGTCGCTCTTCGGAAATCGTGTATAGGGTCACTATGGGTTGGATCCAACTCGACGGCACTTAACAACATCAACAGTGCCAGAAGATGAGACCCTCGGGATGGAGGGCACTCAAAATGCAACTAGGGAAGAGCTACCTCCCCAAATTAGAGTTGACTATGATGTAGGAGTCCTGGTGTGGCACTGTGGGTTAATGTGCCAGACTACAAAGCCATTTGAACTGCAAGGTCAGCTGTTCAAGCTCACCAGTTGCACTTTGGAAACTCTATAGAGGGTAGCTAGAGGTTGGAGTCCATTCGACAGCATTTTACAACAAAAATGATGATGTAAATGGAGTAAAGCCTTTGAGACTTTCACTTGCTGTTTGGCACAACTCAAAATGAAGAGAAACAGTTGTAAAAGTCCATTAATAATCAAACCATAGAATGTGGGAAGTATGGACCTAAGAAAATTGGAAATTGTCAAAAATGAAATGGAACACATAAATATCAATATCCTAGGCATTAGTGAGCTGAAATTTGTGGTATTGTCCATTTTGAATCTCACAATCACATGGTTTTCTATGTCAGGCATGAAAAATTGAAGAGGAATGGCATCACATTCATTATCACAAAGAACATATCAAGATTTGCCTTGAAGTACAACGCTGTCTATGACAGGATAATGTCCATATGCCTACAAGGAAAACCAGTTAATGCCACTATTATTCAAATTCACACACCTACTACTAAAGCCAGTAATGATGG